CACTGCAATCGCAGATGCTTGCTTCAGGTACACAATTTGAGTGTGTCATGTGGATATCAACGGCAGAAGTACGGAAGACACCGACTTTGGCTTAGGCAGCGGAGCCGTTCGCATGAAGCTGGAGTGCAGAGTGCATTCAGTTCTCAAGGCCCAGGTCTTCAATGAAGGTTGCAGGGATCCTATGCAGGCATATAGTCCCAGAAGCATCCAAAAGTGGTTCACCATCCACGGCCTGTAAGTGCCGTCCTTCCTGAGAGGCATCATTCATCTGGCGTTTGAACCCGTGTTCGTGAGTGTGCAGGAACACCCGGGGGTGGGGGTGGGGGGCGGGGGGGTGGCGACGGGGGCCCCGGGGGCCCTGGCCCTTCTGCCCTGTGGCAGGGGTCGTGGGACGCAGAGCTCGGCCTTGACTTGGTGCAGGTCTTCGGGGGCCGGCGCTGGTTTCTGAAATGGTGGGAGAAAAGGACCTCAGTCCTGAGAACATGACTTTCCCGGCAGCTTTGGCTCATTTTTTTTTTTTTTTTGAAGATTTATTTATTTATTTGAAAGGCAGAGTTACAGAGAGAAAGAGGTCTTCCATCTACTGGTTTCCTCCCAAAATGGTCACGACACTGGGACAAGCTGAAGCCAGGAGCCAGGAGCTTCGTCCAGGTCTCTCCCACACGTGCTGGGGCCCAAACCCTTGGGCCGTCTTCCACTGCTTTCCCAGGCGCATGAGCAGGGAGCTGGATGGGAAGTGGAGGAGCCAGGATTTGAACCTGGGAAGCTGGCGCTGCAGGCGGAGGGTTAACCTGCTAAGCCACCGTGCCGGCCCTGCTTTGGTTCTTAAAGAGCAGGTGGCATTTCACGCGATACGGCCACCTGAGCTCCTGCTGTGATTGAGAGATTGCTATGGACCAAGCCTGTGGGAAACTCTAATTATGTCTGAACCCGGAGACAGACGCAGGGGTAACTGACAGCCCCGTGTCCACCATAGGGAGGGCCGGGCTGAGACTCTGAATTCGTCCCAGGGTGAGTGTTGCCCGGTGGCAACATGCAGAGAGGCCCACGGAGCAGGGCCTGCGAGCGAGCAGCCCAGGGCCGGGCTTGTTCCAGGCCTCACCCGTGGCCTTGGGTTCTCGCTCCAAGCCACAGGGAGGACCTTTTTCGCTCCCATGAGCACGTGGACATAACATCAGCCGCACAAATAGCAGGACGGAGATTATGCAGTTTGGAGAGGGCTGGGGTCCCACTGAGCAGTGGGCAGGGCGATCAGGGTGACGTCACGCAGGGGTGGGGACTCCTCTCCCCATGGTGTCTCCCACGCCCCCAGGCTGCAGAGGACCCAGGCCAGGTCAGGCCTGGCAGCAGGTGGGCCTGGGGCTCAGAGGCCTCTCCTCTCCACCCCGACAGTGTGCGGAGAACACCAAGTTCCTGGTCCGGGCCTCCTACCTGGAGATCTACAATGAGGATGTCCGTGATCTGCTGGGGGCCAACACCAAGCAGAAGCTGGAGGTGGGTGCAGGGAGGGGCTGTGGGAAGGTTGCTGTTCAGATGAGGTGGGGACTTTGAACTTGAACTTCGGAGTATGCTCAGAGTTCATGATGCAGGGGAGGTGTTAGTGGGCCTCCCCCACCGCACCTCTATATCTGCTGAAATAGATGAAGTTGGTGGTAGACTTCATTTGAAGTAAGGGTTCCACTGCTAAAAAAAAAAAATTACTTGGAAGATTTCTAAAGGCCCTTCACACTAAGAAGGCAATAGTGGCGATTGCTTATTAAGCGCTTCCTGTTTACTGGCTGGCTGAGGCCCATCGTGCCTCTGGCACTCAGCGTCTCCTCGTTGGGTAGCTATGATCTCCAAGCTGTCAGTGTGCGAAGGGAGCTTCAGTGTCCACGTCACACAGCGCTAAGTGGCCGAACCTGGACTTGAACCCAGCTGTGTCTTGACTTGAAGGTCCCAGATGTGACACACCCCAGTTTACCGCCTCTGAAGGGCTCCCATCTGACTTCGGTCCCCTTTGAAAGGCCCCCCCCCCGAGGGGTGAAGTGACCCTCAGGCTGCTCCGCAGGGCACCCCTGGTGTAGAGGACAGAGAATGCCTGGGGAGACATTCAGGCTGGGGAGACAGTCAGGCTGGGGAGACAGTCAGGCTGGGGAGACAGTCGCTCACAGCAGAAAAGCTCCGACTGGCTCCCCCAGGGGCCGCTGCACAGGGCTCGATCCCTGCTGTCCTTTGTGCCCAGTCTCCTCTCCTTAAAGGGTGAGCTACAGAGTAGCTTTCCCAGCAGGGGGCAGCAGTGAGGCGTTTAGGGTTCCATCAAGATAGGCCGAACCAGGCTGGCCCTCTGGGGAGTCCGGTGAGGTCAGGAGACCCGGCAGGACTGGGCAGCCAGTGAGTGGCCAGGCTGGGCTCCGCTTGAGACCCTTTGGCCTTCACCTCGGTAAGACGCCTTGCTCATGTCTCGTCTCTTTTGTGAGGTTCTCTAAATGCTGAATGGGGCGGCCGGGTGGAGGAGAGAGGTACCAACCCACGTCCGAGGCCAGAATGCTGGTTGGCTGCCCCCTGCACCCAACTCTGGTGCTGTTTATCTGACCAGGCAACCAGAGGCCCCCCAGGAGGCCCCACGAGTGGCATGGGGGTCAGCCCTCCTCCACGGGGACGTCTCAGGAGCATCAACCAGGGAGGTTGCTATGGAGACCGTTGCTTTATCCAGGAGGACAGACTTGCAAAGAGGAGCTGGCTTGCCGAGGCCGCGGGGCTGGGAGCCACAGAGTCGGGGCTGGGCCCCCAGGACATGCCCTTCAGCTGCCATGGGGATGGGGAGCCTGAGTAGGGGCCCTGATGGCGCCTGTCTTCCCGCTCTGCAGTGCCCTCCAGGGCTATTCAAGACCCCCCAGTGGCCACGTGACACAGCCCTGCTCCCCAGTTGCTCCCAGATGCCCTGCCCTGGGTCACTGGAGATGTCCCTCTGATTGGCGGCTACTCTGTGGCCAGCTGAGCAGGCCAGGCCTCAGGGAGGAGCTGGAAAAATCCTGAACAGTTGGAGCCACATGGGCCCTTAGAGACCCCCCTGGAGCCAGCCCCTTCCTGGTTCGGATGAGGACACGCCGCATGACCCCCATCTCCGTCCAGAACAAGATCCCCGGCCCCGCCCCGCCCCCGCCAGCTTGGCGCAGGCGCACAGTGCTCTGCCCGGTCCACGCAGGAGCCCCGGCCGCCCACCTGGAGCTGTTCCCGTCTTCTCGCTCCTGGTGCAGCTGAGTCAGCCCCCAGGCAGGGAGGCAGGGAGAGGAGGCAGGCGTGGGGTTGCTGCCACGGATCAGCCCTAGACGGCCAGCTGGCGGAGTCAGGACCCCTGCCCACTTGGGAAACTTCTGCCAGCCTACAGCGGGGCGGCAGGAGACCCTCCTCTGCCTCACAACCCTGGACTTAAAAGGGCCGCAGCTACCCAGAGCACCCATGGGCCCGAGGCTGGGTGGGCCAGTCTGTCTGGGGGCTGCCGATGACCACAGTGACCCGGTGCCGGTGATCCCCCGCCCTGCCCGCCCCGCCCGCCCCCTGCCCCGGGGAATGGAGCTCCGACCTGCTGCTTGTGGAGGGCGTGCAGGGGAGGATACGGGGGTGCAGGTGCTTTCCTACCCTATAACAGATGAGGAGGTGGAGGCTCCACTTCCTGTGTAAGACCAGCCCACCGCACGGTCAGGAGAGCAGGACTGGGCTCTGCATTCGGGGCCACGCCCCTCAGCACAGGCTCTTAACCTGCTCGGCACAGGGTCTGCTAATGTGTATAGCTTGAGCCGACTAGAGCAGCCAAGGTCAGCAGGAGATTTGGGGAAACAGAGGTACACACCCGGCCCCAGCCACTACAGACCTTCGTCCTGGACCCCAGCCGGGTCCTGCGTGGTGGAACAGGGCCTGGGGGCCTCTCTGCCTGGTTCCCCTGCACACCCCCCCACCGACCCACAGACACGGACACATCCTTGTCCATCCATGCTGCAGCCCGCTGGTTGCCATGGCAACCCAGCTGTGGCCTCTGTGTGGCCAAGATGAGCAGTTACCCAGGGAGTGTGCAGAGCGGGCGGCTGTCAGAGCAGTCCTGCCTTGTTGGGGGTGGGGTTCCCTTGGGGAATGACAAGGTGTGTGTGTGTGTGGGTGGGTGGTGGGACAAACCCTCCTGGGCCTAAAGATAGAGCACTGGGAGACCCATTCCGCAAGGCGCATCTCCTGAGGTCGCCCAGGCCTCCAGACGCATCTCCGGCCTCTGTGACCTGCTCCAGAGCTGTGGTTAGATCCATTGTTGGACAGAAATGGGATTTATCGTCCCCATTTCACAGGTGAGGAGACAGGCTTAGAGTGAGGCAGACTGACCTCCCCACCTAGCAAGTGACAGAACCAGGGTTCTGGTTCTGAGTCTAGAGCAGGAAAGTTCACGAGGCCAGGAGCCCCTCGCTCACGGGGCTTGTGTGCCAGGCGGGGTCCTAGCCTCTGGGGGTGGCAGGCATCCCAGCAGGCACCTCTCAGGCATGTGAGTACTGTGGCTGAGCTGGAGGGGTGCTGCGGGCCCCCAGGGCTGGCTCCACCTGCGTTTGGGGGCTCCTGCTTCTGCCGCTGTGACCCTCCTCCCAACCGCCTCCGGGGCATGGGTCAGCTCTCCTCCCAGCTGCCTCCGGGGCAGGGGTCAGCTCTCCTCCCAGCTGCCTCCGGAGCACGGGTCGGCTCTCCTCCCAGCCACCTCCGGGGCGTGGGTCGGCTCTCCTCCCAGCCACCTCCGGGGCATGGGTCAGCTCTCCTCCCAGCTGCCTCCGGGGCGCGGGTGGGCTCTCCTCCCAGCTGCCCCTGGGTGCGGGTGGGCTCTCCTCCCAGCCGCCTCTGGGGCGTGGGTCGGCTCTTTGTTATTTCAGGCTTCAGTTCCCGCAGGATGCTTCAGCTTCTCCCCTCTGCCCCTGGAGCCTTCATGACCTGTGACCCCTCGATGGCTGTGACCTTCAAGTCACTTAGCCTTTAGGGTGCCTCCCTGGCTGCCCCGGTGTGCCAGCTCCACTCCCTGGGCTGGGCCTGGCTGGGTCTCCGCCTCCTGCTGGAGCAGATGGGCCCATGTGAGGGCCCCGACCCCACCGAGAGGCCCTGAAGCCGGTGGGGCCTTCTGCGCTCGGCCTGCAGGGCCATTGGCAGCCAAACCCCTCTTGTTCCAGTCCACTCTGCTCTTGCCGGAGTGGTTTTATTTCTTCTCACAAGTGAGAAATACTGTGTGTCCCAGCTCCATGTCTGCAGCTAAGTGACCAGGTGGCCTGGGCAGTGAGCAAGCCGGCGCCATCGCATGAGCTCTCTGACCTGCAGCCCTCACGCAGGGCTGCAGCCACCTGAGCTGCACCTGCTGGGGCTCTGTGCAGCAAATGGCCAGGGGCTGAACACATTCTTGCTGCCCCAGAGGGAGGGCAGAGAGGGGATCCGGAGCTCAAGCTCCCAGACTAAAAACCACCTTCACGGCGGTGGCCCTGGTGGGTGCCCCGTGGATGGCACCTGGCATTTATGGGACACTTAGTCACCTGCCAGAGGCACCATGCTGAGCCTTGGGTGCCCCCTTTGTCTTTAAGATTTATTTCTTATTTATTTGAAAGGCAGAGTTACAGAGAAGAGAGATAGAGAGAGAGAGAGAATTGTCCATTCACTGGTTCACTCCCCAAGTGGTCGCAGTGGCCAGGGCTGGGCTAGGCTGAAGCCAGGAACCTGGAGCTTCTTCCAGGTTTCCCATATGGGTGCAGGGGTCCAACCACTTGGGCCATCTTCTGCTTTCTTAGGCACATTAGCAGGGAGCTGGATCGCAAGCGGAGCAGCCAGGTCTTGAACCAGCGTCCATATGGGATGCTGGCATCGCAGGGGGAGGCTTAACCTGCTACATCACAATGCCGGTCCCTTCCCCTTATTTCACTGGTTTCTTACCATAGCCCGACGAGATTGATGATGTCTCATACCCATTGTATAGATGTGGAAACTGAGGTCCAGACTGAGTCACTGACACAAGGTCCCACAAGTAGGAGGCAGGAGGAGGTTTGCGGGTGGCCCTGCCTGGAACGGGCGCCTTCCCTGTTATGGGGCGTTAGATGAGCCAATCCGCGCTGCAGGAGGGCAGGCGCGGTCTGGTGGAGCTCAGGCCTCGGGTGCCCTGGGGACCCCTGGCCCCACCTCCACCCCGCTCCTGAGCCGTGCCTCCTGCCCGCAGCTGAAGGAGCACCCGGAGAAGGGTGTGTACGTGAAGGGGCTGTCCATGCACACGGTGCACAGCGTGGCCCAGTGCGAGCGCGTCATGGAGACGGGCTGGAAGAACCGCTCGGTGGGCTACACCCTCATGAACAAGGACTCCTCACGCTCACACTCCATCTTCACCATCAGCATCGAGATCTACGCTGTGGGTATGCGCCTGGGACCAGGGGCGGATACCCGAGCGGGTCCAGCGCCTGTGGAGGAGGGACCACCAGAGGGCGCTCCCCTGCGGCAGGGCAGGAGCTGAGGAGCTGAGGCTGCACAGCGGGGGTGGGGGGTGGGGGTGCAGGAGCTGGGCTCCAGTCCCGAGGCCGTCCGTCCTCTCTCTCTTTGTAGTCTCACTGAGCCTCTTTCTGGCCGAGTTTGTGAGAGCCCGAGCAGGAAGGGACAGAGCGTGGTTACTCGGGGCCTGCGGGGCCAGCACTCGGCTGCTTCGTTCTGTTGCAGCCTGCAGCCGTCCCAGGCCGGGCAGGCTGCATTGTTCTCGTTTTCCCGTGGAGAAAACAGCTCGGAGCTGCTGTGGGTGTGCTTGCCCAAGCTCCCGCCAGCCCAGCCCGACCCCAGGTCCTCCTGATCGCTGGCTTTCTGCTGCTGACCCTCCCTGCTGCTGCCTCTCGCAAGTCTGTGGCCCAGCAGGAGTAGGGCTCCGGAGAGCGCGGAGCAGCAGGCAGCGGCAGCCCGGCGGGAGCACAGGTCTGCAGAGGCGGTTGACCAGGATCAGCGCCCAGGCTGGTGGGACCGTCCCCACCCCGCTCAGTCCAGGCCCCTGGCCTGCCCCTGCCGCTTGCCAAGTGTGCGAGGGGTGTGTGGCTGGGGAGGGGGGGACTCGCGTGCTCCCAGGGGCAGGGACAGGAGGGGCAGGTGATTTGGTCCCTCTTGGACTCTGCAGGAGTGTGTGAAGGAGGGGACAGGCTGCCTGCAAACAGGCTTTTAACAGATTTAAAAGATGATTCTTGCTTTCATTATAAAATAATGCAAGCTCAATAAAGATACTTAGAATTTAGAGAGAGATGGGGGAGAGTGCCCGTGGTTCTGGGAAACAGCACAACCAGCCGTTCCCATCAGAGCACACTGTGCTTCGCGTTTTCTTTTCAGAAAGATTTATTTATTTATTTGAAAGGCAAAGTTACAGAAAGAGGGAGACACACAGAGAGAAATCTTCCATCTGCTGGTTCATTCCCTAAAGGGCCAAACAGACAGGGCTGGGCCAGACCAAAGCCAGGGGCCTGAAACTCCAACCAGGAGTTCCCACGTGGGTGCAGGGACCCCAACACTTGGGCCATCCCCCACTACTTTCCCAGGTGCATTAGCAGGGAGCTGGATCAGAAGTGGAGCAGCCGGGACTCGAACCGGCGCCCACATGGGATGCTGGCCTCACAGGTGCAGCTTAACCTGCTGCGCCGCCGTGCAGTGCCTTGTCTTTTGATGCTGTTTTTCCGTGAACGTTTTAGGCACGATTGGAGTCTTACGCTCCAGGTGGTTTCCCCTTGGCTCTGTTTGGCAAGCATCTCCCTCGTCAGCACCGTGTGCCCGGGGCGGAGGGCAGTGCAGGCATTTCTCTCACCCATTTATGACCAGCCTTTGCAGGGTGCTCCAGTTGTCTTCAGATCTGCGGTGCTGTAGATGAGGCTGTGGGTGGAAGTGGCTGACACAGGTTCCTTGCAGCGGAGCCCTGGGGGTGGGGCTCGCGCGTGAGGCTCCTACGACCTGAGCACAGAGCTTTCCCAAGGCCGGTCCCCATTCCATCCTGTTCTTTTATTAAAAAGTAATTTAAAAAGAGCCGGCGCCGTGGCTCAATAGGCTAATCCTCCACCTTGCGGCGCCGGCACACCGGGTTCTAGTCCCGGTTGGGGCGCCGGATTCTGTCCCGGTTGCCCCTCTTCCAGGCCAGCTCTCTGCTATGGCCAGGGAGTGCAGTGGAGGATGGCCCAGGTGCTTGGGCCCTGCACCCCATGGGAGACCAGGAAAAGCACCTGGCTCCTGGCTCCTGCCAGGATCAGCGCGGTGCGCCGGCTGCAGCGGCGGCCATTGGAGGGTGAACCAGCGGCAAAGGAAGACCTTTCTCTCTCTGTCTCTCTCACTGTCCACTCTGCCTGTCCCAAAGAAAAAAAAAAAAAAAAAAAGTAATTTAAAAAATCGGTTGCATGGCAGAGAGAGAGAGAGAGAGAGAGAGAGAGCAGGAAGGAGCTCCACTGGTTCACTCTCCAAATGCCTACAGTAGCCAGGGCTGGGCCAGGCTGAAGCCAGGAGCCAGGGACTCGGTGTGGGTGTCCCGTGTGGGTGGCAGGGACCCAACCACTTGAGCCATCACCTACTGCCTCCTAGGGTAACGTCAGCAGGAAGTCAGAATCAGGACAGTCAGGACTCGAACCCAGGACTCAGATATGGGATTTTGTTCCTAACCACTGCACCAAATGCCCACCCCTCTCTTTAAAGAGCCTGAGGACCCACGCCCCTCATGCGTCCACCTGCTGCGTCCCAGCCAGGCTTTCGCCCTTTCAGATTGGGGGCCCGCGTGTAACATGGGCAGCTGCGGTTTCAGCCCCACCCCCGCCTCCCTGCCCCGATCTGGGGCTTCGGGCCACGTCAGAATCGAACGATGTCGCCCTCCAGCTCCTGGGGTGGTTTACGGGGTGGCCAGTGCCAGTGAGCGCTAGCCTTGGGTAGGCCCAGGCTGAGCTCGGCGTGTTTGCGCCGTCACTGCCGTCCTCATGGTGACCTTCAAGCTGGCTTTGTGTCCGCACTGAGAGAGGGGCTGCTGAGGCTGAGTCCAGTGATGTGACCTCCCGTGTGTCACAGCTGCTAAGGGAGAGGGTCCGGATGGGCCCTCTGAAGCCCAGTGGTCCAGCCGCAGGTGGCTGTCCCATCACCCTCCATGCCCAGGGCCCATCCAGCCGGCACAGTAGCAGTGACCTTGGCACCATGTGCCGGGCTGCTGTGGCCCCCATAAGAAACTGCTGCAGGTTTCCTCTGCTCCTCCCAACAACTGACCCTAGTGGGGGCTCGTGCTGTTGTCACTTTGTTGACGTGTGAAACTGAGACCCAGAGAGGCGCATGGCTCCCCTGGTGTCACACAGCAAGGCAGAGGCAGGACTGGGCTGGGAGCCAGGTCCAAGAGTCCCCAAAGCTGATGCATTGGACGAATCAACTCCTTGGGGATCCAGCCATGCCCCCCACCCCCCACCTTTGGCCTAGAGGAGGAGTGGAGGAGCTGCTGGGTAGCCATCAGGAGCCTGCTGCACTCAAACAGACTAACACCCGGCCCCTGCTCCCCGGAGTCAGACGGCCCAGCATTCTGATTTGGGCTCCGCCCCTTAGCAGGTGTAACCTTGGACACGTTGCGTGCCCTGTCTGGGCCTCACTTTGCTCCTCTGTCAGATGGGCCTCATGGCGGCAGCTCCCTGGGGCTCCTTTGCGGCTGAAATGAGGCCCTCAGCAGGTGGGTAGCCCTCGGCCCCGCGGCTCAGTGGGCTCCTGACCCCAGGGCGCCCTCTAGTGCCCTGCCTGCTCTGTCTGTCTGTGCAGACGAGCGGGGCAAGGACCACCTCCGGGCGGGCAAGCTGAACCTGGTGGACCTGGCAGGCAGCGAGCGGCAGTCCAAGACGGGCGCCACGGGGGAGCGGCTCAAGGAGGCCACCAAGATCAACCTGTCGCTGTCGGCGCTGGGCAACGTCATCTCGGCGCTGGTGGACGGCCGCTGCAGGCACATCCCCTACCGCGACTCGAAGCTCACCCGGCTGCTGCAGGACTCGCTGGGCGGCAACACCAAGACGCTGATGGTGGCCTGCCTGTCGCCCGCCGACAACAATTACGACGAGTCCCTGAGCACGCTGCGCTACGCCAACCGGGCCAAAAACATCAAGAACAAGCCGCGCATCAACGAGGACCCCAAGGACGCGCTCCTCCGCGAGTACCAGGAGGAGATCAAGAGACTGAAGGCCATCCTGGCCCAGCAGATGGGCCCCACGGGCCAGCCAGGTAGGGTGGCCCTGGAGGGCGTGGCAGGAAGGGGCGGGCCCGAAGAGAAGCGAGCCTGCGCCTGGCGTCTCGCCCCCACCTCCTCTGACGCCACGGGGCACGGCTGTCTTGGTTGGTTTGTTTTCATTTTTGAAAGGTGGACACGGAACTTCCATCCACTGGTTCACGCTCCAAATGCCAGCGACAGCCAGGGCTGGGCCAGGACCCAGGAGCGCCGTCTGGGTCCCCGGCGATGGGTGGCAAGGACACCAGTACTTGAGCCGTCACTGCTGCCCCCAAGGGTGGACATTAGCAGGAAGCTGGGATTGGAAGTAGCAGGACTTGAACTCAGCAGTGCAGTAAGGGATGCGGGCACCCAGGCAACGTCTTAACCACTGCTCCAGGGGCCCGCTCCTGGGCTCAGCTTTTGAAGAGTCAGGCGCAGCCTGCTCGGTGAGAGCCCAGATGGTGTTTGCCTGGCAGTGCCTGAAGGAGAGGCCTGGCCCTGGCTCGTCCCACCAGCCACGGGCCCCTCGTCGCCCGCTGCCGGCCTCCGCCATGCCCCCCAGCAGCCCCTGCTGTCCTCATGGCAGCGTCATGGCCGCCGGCTGACCTGCTCCCCCACGTCCCACCCAGCTCCTCAGGGGGAAGCTGTCGCTCCCCGTCTTCATGGGGGAACGACACTAAACCCTGCCTAGGCTTCATATCCGAGTCACGGCACCATTATGTCGCTCCCCCTCTTCGTGGAGGAACGACACAGGACCCTGCGCTGTTCTTTCGTCTGCTCGGCCCTCCCCGGGTTTGCTGCTGGTTCTTCCCGGGTTGGCTACTATCCCTTCCACCTCCGTGGAAGGGCAGTTCCCCCTGGCCACTTTCCCCACTTCCGCAGGGGAGCGGCACACCGCCGGCCGGCTCTCTCGGGGGCTGCACAGGTGTTCCTTCAGCTAGATGTTCCCCTTAGATGTTCCTTGTGCATGCCGTCTCTCTCCTCCTTTATAGTCCTCCTCCGCCAATCCCAACTCGGCTGCCCACACGCCGAGTACGCTGCTCTCCTCCAATCAGGAGCAAGTCCTACAGTTTATTGGTTGAACTGGAGGCAGCTGTGCGGAAGCTGTTTACTTCTCTCCCAGTGCCATATTGTGGGAGAGCAGATGCATAGAATAAGTCTTAATTCCAGTAACTCAGTCCAGTCCGAATTGCTCCCCACAGATCCCCCTTTCTTTTTATTTTTGGTGTTGATACGCGCCTGTCTTCGGTGTCCCGCGGCACACACTCTGCTCTACTTGCTAGAGTTGCCACAGGTTCTTACAAGTCCTATCAATCAGGCAAACCGAATCCGGGTCCTCTCTTCGCCATGTTGTGAGGAGGTTTTTAGGCGCTGATGCGTGCCTGTGTTCGGTGACCTGCGGCTCATACTTTGGTCGAGCCGCCTGCTGGCGCTTACCGCCTTAATCAGGCAGACCGAATCCAAGCTTTCTCATTGCTGTATTGTGGGGGAGACTTATTAGTGTTGGTTCGTGCCTATCTTCGGTGACCTGCAGCTCATACTCTGGTCGAGCTGCTTGCTGGTGCTTACCGCCTTAATGAGGCAGACCGAATCCAAGCCTCCTAATTGCTGTATTGTGGGGAGGCCTTACTGATGTTAATTCGTGCCTGTCTTCGGTGACCTGCGGCGCATAAGCTGCTAGCCGCCCGCAGGTGCTCATCGCCTCACTTAATCGGGCAGACCGAATCCAAGCTTTCTCATTGCCATGTTGAGGGGAGGCCTTTCTATTTCTCTATTTCTCTATCTCCGGGCATTCCTATTTCTCCCATTTTACTTCTATCCTCCAGCATTCCTATTTCTCTCATTTTACTTCTAAACTTCTGTTTCTCTTATCCCCGCGGCTTCCCGGCGCCTCGCCCTGCCGGCAGGCTCCGCCCCGAGGCTGCTTCTCGGCGCCTCGCAGGCTCTGAGCCGCTTCAGCCCGCGCCTCTCTCATCTGCGCGGCTCGGCTTTGCGCGCACACTCCGCGGTTACTCACTAGCCCTTTCGCGTCTGAACCACGGCCTCGCGCCAGCCCCGCGTTCCCTATCTATTCATGCCCCGTGCTCTCTGCACGCGGCGGCTTCCGCGAGTCACACAGCGTAGCTTGCATCTCCGCCACTAGCATTCAATCCAAGTTCCCCGGGCTAGCCTGGCGAATTCAACCCAGCTTACGTCTCCGCCCCACGATTTGGCTTCCCGTCCTTTGCTCCCCGGGCTAATCAGACGGATCCCAACCTGGCTTACGTTTCCGCTTCTGGTTTCAACTTTTCGCCCCTTATTCCCAGGCTAACTTGAGAATCCCAAAGTGGCTTTCGTCTCCGCCTCGGCCTGCCCCCCGCGGCTTCAATTTCCCTAACATTTTTCTCTACCCGGTATGTTTCCCCAAACTTTCCTCCAACGATATTCCTCCCTCATTTCTCCTGGCCTCTCCCCACAGTCCGCGTCCAAGTCTGTTTGTTCTAGCTTTCACTTTCGCTTTCGACCTTAGAGATTTCTCCCAGCTTCCCCCCGTAGTCCGTATCCGAGTCTATGCCTAGGCTTTCAATAGCTTCTTCCGGCACCTTTTTCGTCCGGCTTTTCCCTAGGCTGTTTGCTAGTCTCTCTCTCCGGTATTTTCCCAGTTCTTCCCGTTTCTTCCCTCCTAAGTTTCCTATCCGTCCTAGGTTTCCTATCTGAGTCACGGCACCATTATGTCGCTCCCCGTCTTCATGGGGGAATGACACTAAACCCTGCCTAGGCTTCATATCCGAGTCACGGCACCATTATGTCGCTCCCCCTCTTCGTGGAGGAACGACACAGGACCCTGCGCTGTTCTTTCGTCTGCTCGGCCCTCCCCGGGTTTGCTGCTGGTTCTTCCCGGGTTGGCTACTATCCCTTCCACCTCCGTGGAAGGGCAGTTCCCCCTGGCCACATTCCCCACTTCCGCAGGGGAGCGGCACACCGCCAGCCGGCTCTCTCGGGGGCTGCACAGGTGTTCCTTCAGCTAGATGTTCCCCTTAGATGTTCCTTCGTGCATGCCGTCTCTCTCCTCCTTTATAGTCCTCCTCCGCCAATCCCAGCTCGGCTGCCCACACGCCGAGTACGCTGCTCTCCTCCAATCAGGAGCAAGTCCTACAGTTTATTGGTTGAACTGGAGGCAGCTGTGCGGAAGCTGTTTACTTCTCTCCCAGTGCCATATTGTGGGAGAGCAGATGCATAGAATAAGTCTTAATTCCAGTAACTCAGTCCAGTCCGAATTGCTCCCCACAGGAAGCTGCTGGTGCCGTGTGCACACCCGGGCGTGAGGCTCTCCCGTCTGGCAGGTGGAGAGCACCACCCAGAGCTGGGCCTGCAGGGTCCTGGGAGCTGAAGGTCTCTTAAATTCTTCTTCTCCCTTCTTGTGGAAGGGAGCACAGGGCAGGCTGGGTCCACGGGTCCATTTGTCTGTCCCCACCCACTGTCTCTCATCCGCTCTGCACACACGTCCATCTGCCCCTCCCTCCACCTGCCTGCCTTCTCCTCCACGCCATCATTTATCCATCTGCTCACTCACCCATCCACACCCCACCCCCGGCTGTCCTTCCTTCTACACACCCACCAGTCCAGTTACCCAGTCGGACTACTATCCCCATCCATCCAGCCACATCCAGCCTGTCCTGTCTTTCCTGTGTCCCGCCCCCCACCTCCATTCCTCTGTCCACAGCTCCCTGACTTAACCTCCCAGGAAAAGGTCAGCCCGGTAGTCTACCGTGTGCTGCAAGGCAGACCCTTGGGCAGAAAGGAGTGTGGGGCCAGGTGTGTGTAGGGTAGGACATGGTCAGGCCTGGATGGCTTCACGGAGGAGACAGTGAGTGAGCTGAGATGGCCAGTGTGTGTGCATTTAGGGCTCTAGGGTGCATTTGGGGAACCACAAATGATGCTACCGGCTGCATGGTGGGGGTGGGGCACAGTCAGGTGGAGACTGGCAGGGGGTGGCGTGGAGAGGGCCCGGAGGGATTCCGCTTGGGCCACCTGCCTCTCTCCTCTTCCCCCTCCCCCCACGCCTGCCTGGCTCACTCCCAGGTTGGTAAGCGGGAGACAGCTGGGAATGGCAGGAGGCCTCAGGATAACTGGGGAGGCTGTGACGCTGGGCCCCCAGTCGCAGCAGCCTACATGAGTGCAGCCTCCGTGCGGCCTTACGGGCAGTGTGGGCCCTGGGTTGGAGCATGCGGTGCCCCGCTGGCTGCAGCGACTTGGGTGGCACTGGGCAGAGCAGCGCGTGGAGCAGTCGGTAGCCAGCTCACCTCCTGGCTCTTCGGGCCAGCGGCTTGGCCCCTGGGACCTTGGTCCCCTCGTCTGTAAACAGAGAAGTCAATGCCTTGATTTTGTGGTAAGGCAGTGGGGAGGATGATCCGAGCCAGCAGGCGGGGCGTAGGGGCCTGGCTTGCAGCCTGCGAATCTTGCTGCTGTCCCCAGCCTGGTAACGACTCAGACCTTCCTGGTGTTGAAGCTTAAGCCTTGGGGTCATGCCTGGGTTCTTTCTTTCTCTCAAATCACCTGCAGTCTGCCACAGACCGCGCTGTCTCTGCCTTCAGCACACGTCTGGATCATCCACTGCTTTTGCACCTGAGCCGTTGCTGCCTCTCCCACTGCAGAGGCCCGGGGTCTCCTGGCACCTGCCCGTGCCACCCCCTCCCCCAGTGCCTCCTCCACTGTTCAAATGCAAGTCCCAGTCCCTACTGCACCCACTCCAGCGGCACTGCTGAGCCCAGAGCAAAGCTGGGGTCCCCCGTCCAGCCCCATTTCCTCTGCAGCCTCTGGTGTGCCTCCTCTGCCCGTCACTCTTGCTGGCCACTGGCTGGTGCTGGAGCGGTGCAGGCCCAGGATGCCCCAGGGCCTTGGCACTCACTGCTCCCGTCCGTCTGGACAGCGATTCCCCCACATCCCTGCCCGCCTCTCTCCCTCGATCCCTGCTTCTTGCCTTGTCTTCAAGGCCTGCCTCCTCCTCTGAGCCCCACCCAACCCGGCTTCCTTTTCTTCTTGGTGCATAGCCCCTGGGATCGTGTTGTACGTTTTGCTGATTGTTTTGTTTGCTTCCTCCTGCGATGGAGAGCCTAGCGTGGGAGTGGAGTTATTTTTTTTAAATATTTATTTATTTAAGGGGAAGAGTTACAGAGAAGGAGGATAGACACCCACTGGTGGCCATAACAGCCAGAGCTGTGCTGATCTGAAGCCAGGAACCAGGAGCTTCTTCCGGGTCTCCCATGCGGGTGCAGGGACCCAAGGACCTGGGCCATCTTCTACTGCTTTCCCAGGCCATAGCAGAGAGCTGGATTGGAAGTGGAGCAGCCGGGATTCAAACTGGTGCCCATATGGGATGCCGGCACTGCAGGCGGAGGCTTAGCCCACGACGCCACAGCGCCGGTTCCAGGGTGTGGAGTTCTGTCTGTTTTACTCGGTGCTGTGGGCTGGTGTCGCGGTGCTGCATGCATGCCGGTGTCACAGGAGCCCTGTTGAGTGAAGCCAGCACTCGTGGGCCATCTCTGAATGACCACGTGGTGCTCTTCACACGGATTTCTCCTGAGTTTCTGCAAACATCGTGTGCTTTGCTCTCTGCTCTCTCTTGTTCTCCTCCCAGCCCTGCTGTCCAGCCAGGAGCCCCTAAACCCTGACCAGGGCGGGGAGAAGCTGCTGCCCCCACCTGTGACCCAGCGTGACGTGGAGGCTGAGAAGCAGCTGATCCGGGAGGTGAGGCCCGAGCGGGCTGGAGAACAGGTGGCCGGATCAGGGCTGGGGGCCGCCGCCTTGGCCACGGGGCCGCGTTCCACCTTCACCGTCACCGTGGCATTGGATCTGCAGTCCCTCTTTATAGCTGAGAAACCTTAGGGACACCACGACTCGCCCAAGGTCACACAGCTAAGGAGAGCATGAGCCAGGATTCGAACTTGGCTTCCTGGGTCCAGACTGAGGGTCACCGCCACATCAGTGCCTGCCCCGGGGAGAAGAGAGAAGGGGACGGGGCTTCTCCAGGAGTGCGGGGTCTCCTCGGGACTGGAGGGGGGGTTGGCTGTCGATGGAGGCGGAGAAGCCTCGCTGGCCCTGGGAGAGGCCTGCGCAGAGGCCAGGTGGTCAGAGAGGAAAGGAGTCAGTGCCCTCAGCAGCTGTGCCCGGGCCCAGGGGCTGACAGCAGGGCTGCCTCTGACTGGTGGGTGAGCGCAGCGTGGGCCTCGCTGACGCCCGGGGGCCCGGCTCCCTCAGCCTCCCTGGGAAGCAGCAGGGTGGGCATCGCCCGACTTTGCAGACCCAAGCGCCCCCCAGGCAGGGACTCCCACAGCCCACCGTGCCCTGCTTTCTGGACGCCACTGCGTCTTGATGGCTGCGCCCAGAGCTGTGCGCTGACCGTCTCTCGGGCACGCTGGCTTTGCTCATGGGACTCTAAGGCCAGGCTGTGCCCCTGCCACTCAACTATGACCTCAGTTGGGGTCAGCCCTCAGGCCCCGGAAGTCCTTCAGGCTAGGGGGGCAGATCAGGTAAAGCCTGGGGTGACAGTCCTAGAGGCCGGAGGTTCTGGGAGCCCAGCTGCTCACTGGGCCTCCTCACCTGCTGGTCTGGGCTGGCTCCTGGGCAGGGGTCCCAAGGAGCGGAAGTCCCCAGACAGGAGACACCCAGCCACAGCAGGACCTCGGTCCTGAGTCCAGGAGGGCAAGGGAACTGCACAACAGCTGCGACGAAAGCTTCCTCCTCCAGGCAGACGGCCCCTCAGCAGGGCACTGCCGCCCCCTGGTGGTCACTTAGGGAGCTGAGCTGCTGTTCCCAGCAGGCTGCCTCGAGGGGCTGGAGCTGGGAGGGCCTCTCGCCATCCTCGAGCCACAGCCCAGAGGACACAGGGTCCCTCTGATCGCTGCTGCCTCTGCCCCGGAGCCTCTCTGATCGCTGCTGCCTCTGCCTCTCCTGAGGGCCCCACTTGGAGGAAGGGGGAGGGGGCTTATTCTTTCTCCTCCGAGCACCCGGGACTGTGCTTCCCGTCCATTCTGGCCCAGGCAGAAGGCGCAGGCCCAGGGAGGAGGCTCCTCTGTGGTGAGAGGGTGTGGCCGGGAGTGGCCAGCTGTGGGCACGAGTCTACAGGGGCAGGATGGGGGACATAATTTGCTCCTAGAGCCTGCCCTGCTGTCACATTCTCAGATCCGGCTCAGGCAAGTTCTGGTACCCCAGTTCACGTGCACGGAGCCTTGGGGGCCTCACCTGCAGGACAGGTGCCCAGCAGCTCTCCCGCAGCTTCATGGGGGCTGGGCAGGGCGGCACGCACGATGTCTCTCTGCCTTGGGCTGCGCACCGAATACCAAGCAGGGACCAGGGATATGGGTCTGTGCTGCAGCCCCCATTTGTCCTCAACAAGTGTGTTCCGAGCCCGTGTGTGGGGCTGGGCCCCAGGGCTGGAGGGGTATGTGGAGCTGGGGTTCTGCATTTTCAGTGCTGGAAGTGAGAAGCAGACTTTGCAGACGGGCGGGCGTGGTCTCGTACAGAGTGACGTCACAGCATGGGAGGGGCATTGGGGGCTTGCGAGCATCGTGTCCCCGAGGTGGGCTTGGCGTCAGATGGCTCAGCCATGCCACGAGATGAGAGGAGCCCGCAGGCGGCAGACCTGCAGGTGGAGGTGTCGGGGGAGTGGAGGGCGCGGAGACAAAGGACGAGTAAGGGCTGGGGTGCGCTCTGGCACTGGGATACCCGCCTGTGGTTCGGGGCCTCTGGTTAGAAGTGAGGATGGAGGGTGGGGCTGCCGTGTGTGCATGAGTACATGTGTGTTCACATGTGTGTGTGCAAGTAGTGCTCATGGTGCGTGCGCTGTGTGTTCATGTCATGCATGAATGTGCTCGCATTGCATGAGCATGTGTGCTAGTTATCTGCATGTGTGCAGGTATGCCAGTGCACGCATCTGTGCCAACATGTGTATTTGCTAGTACACATGTGCCTACATGCATGCCAACTTGCACATGCATGTACCATGTGAATGTGTGTGTGTGCTCTTGCATGTATATGTGTTTCCAGCCAAGTCTTGCTAGGGTGTGGATCGGGGTGGGCTGAGGCTGGTTTTCACAGGGCCTGAGCTGTGCTGGCAGGAGACAGTGGTGGCTGTGCCTGGCCGAGGGTTGACCAGTGCTGGGATCTGGCTAGGGGAGGAAGGAAGGGAGGGAGGGCCGGGCTGGGGCACTCGTGGGGCTCTGAGAGCTGCCTGGGCCTCAGGGACGTCGCAGGTGTGGCCAGGATGCTCTTATGTGTCCACAAACGTGTGAAGAGCGCCCAGCCCCACTGAATGTCTCTCTCCCCTCTCTCCCTCCCGAGCGCCTGGGCCGCTGCCACGAGGGCCGGGTTTGTACTTGCGGAAGCCGGAGCCTGAGGGGCGCCTCCCGGGGAGACGCCGGTGGGAAGCCGGAGTCTGGGGCCCACATCCAGCCTCCTGCACTCTTTCCCCAGCCCTCACCCTGTGCTGGGCATGGAGGCTCCGAGACAGGACCGCCCTGGCCTGTGGCAGAGAGCCCAGCAGTCAACCTCTGATCCGGCTTCGGACGTGGGCCAGGAGTAGTGAAAAAGTGGCAGTGTGGGGGGAGGGGTCACCAAGCGGAGGTCTGGGCAAGAGCTTGGCAGGCAGCAGGGGGCAAAGTGGGCGCGTCTGGGAGTGGCCAGAAGCTGGTGACCCCAAATGCGGCACAGTGAGGACTGGCTCTGCGGTCAGGCTGCCCATTCTGTCCCCGAACATGGGGCGAGGGATGGTCCGGCGGCCCAGGGACAGGTGTGGGGCAGGAGCAGGGGTGGAGGTGGGGGCCACGTGGGGGGACTTTGGGCCGATGAGGAATGGCGCTCGTAGGGCGCTGCTGGGTGGGAAACAGCGAGTGCTGCGTGTGGTGTTGGCCAGCGTCCAGGAGGGTCTCCCTGTGCGGGTCGGGAGCTTCCGTGCCCTGCTTGGGGCTGACTTGGGTGTTCTGTGTGGCCTGAACAACCCCCGGGAGTCCTGAGAGTCGTGTCCCGGGCTGGTCCCGTGCCGCCTGCCCACAGGAGTATGAGCAGCGCCTGGCCCAGCTGAAGGCCGACTATGAGGCGGAGCAGGAGTCCCGGGCCCGGCTGGAGGAGGACATCACGGCCATGCGCAACTCGTACGACATGAAGCTGTCCACGCTGGAGGAGAACCTGTGGAAGGAGACAGGTGGGCGCCCATGCAGCCGGGGCCTGGGCTCCCTTGGGAAGCCACCTTTGTCCCACCCCAGCCCTAGTCCTGTCTCCTCTTCCCAGCGGTGCAGCCAGGTGGGTACCTTACAGATGAGGCACAGAGTGGGCGAGTCGGTCACGCCTGGTCACACAGCTGGGGACGTGGCGTCCCAGCAGTCCCTGGTGGCGGGGCCCTGCTCAAGGCAGACCTGGAGTTACAAAGCACCGTCTCCTTCCAGAGCCCAGCCCCTGCCCCCAGCGTTGTGGATCTTTATTCGAGAGGGAGAGAGACGGATGCAGACAATGTCTGCAATGGCTGGGGCCAGGCCAGGGCTGGTGCCAGGTGCTAGGCACTCAACCCAGGTCTCCCGTGTGGGTGGCAGGGATTCTGCTGCTTGAGCCGTCACCTGCTGCCCCCCAGTGTCTGCACTGGCAGGAAGTTGGAGTCCGGAGCCGGCGCTGGGACTGAAACCCAGGCCCTCCAGTGTGGGACACCAGCGTGTTAACCCCAAGTCAAATGCCCCCCCCCCCTCACTTTTGAGTCTGTTAGGGAAGCAACCACATCCCATCACAAGAGTCTAAGCACTGGAGAGAACTTGCACCTGTCCCGGTCTTGGGGGTCTTTCTGTGCGCCTGTTCACACACCCACGCTGCTGGGGAGCTGACTCCGCCTGTCGCCCAGGCGCTGCGACCCCAGTCGGTGGTGGTGACCAGGCTGCCACGCTGTGCGGTGCCCTCTGGGCACTGCTGAGTGCCTGGCGCTGTGTGGGTGCTTCCCCTGCACCCCCTGCCTGAGTTGCCCCCGATCCGTTGAGGTCAGACTCACCTGGGGGTCTTGGGTGTGCAGTCTGCTGACCAGACACTCCCAGCCTGAGAAGGCGCTAAGACCCACGGGAGCCCACCAAGGTGGAAGAGCCGTCCCAAGGCAGGGCGGGAAGGGACCAGCGCTTGGTGGCTGGGGAAGTCCAGGACAGGGGAGAAGGGCAGGATTCCTGGCAGAGGTAGACGGTGGCAGGTTTGAACTCTGACGAGGGAATGGGCAGTGGGGCAGAGATGGGCAGGTGCACTTGCTGTGCCGGCCTCTGGGGGCTGGGGGGCCTCTGGTCTTGCGCTGGCTTCTTGGCGGCAGTGGGCTTGGGCCACCTTTCAGGAAAGAGCCCCTCGTCCTGGCCCCCGCACGGCCTGAAGGTGGCTCTCCCTTGTGCAGAGGCCGTGTTGAAGGCAGACGTCCTCTACAAGGCGGAGGCCATGTGCAGGGCAGAGTTCGCCAGCCAGGCCGAGTTGGCGCCCACTTTCCAGTACGAGCTGGCGGGGAGGCCCGAGGTGTTCTCTGTGCCCTACTCGCTGCCCGCTGCCGCCGGCCCCGAGGTGGACGGCCCCGTCCAGTTCGAGGAGCTGCCCAAGGTGGAGGCTTCCAAGTCCGAGACGTCCTTCTGGTCCAGCGAGTCATCTGCCTTCGACAAGGCCTCCCTGTACGAGGTCTTCCCCGGGCCCCCCGAGTTCCCCGAGCCCGCCCACCTGGCGCTGTCTGCGCCCGGGATGGAGTCCGAGGGCAAGTTCTTCCCGCCCGAGTATCTGGGGCCGGATGCTGGGCCCTGGCCCGAGGACGGCGACCTCCGGGAAGACGAGGTCCTGCACATGCTGCCCGGCCTGCAAGACCCGTTCGCTGATGTGGAAGCCAAGCTGGCCCGGCTCTCCTCGTCCAGGGCCAGGACAGACTGGCCCCAGCCCGCCGCGCCGGAGGTCCCGTCGCAGGTAGCTCGCGCCGTGCACGGGCTGAGCGGGCAGTGGGCCAGGGCTGCCCCTGCCGTGGCCTTGGCCTTGGTGGCAGGCGCAGGGGCAGTTTCTTCTGATGCTGTGTCAGCCCGTGGGAGCGTTGGGGTGGAGACAGGGGCTGTGCCTGGTGGGCGCCAGCTCTGCTGGTGGGGGGGTGGTGGTTTGCTGAGTCACCAAGCCCGGGAGAGCAGGAGGGAAGCTGGGGGAGGGGCCCACAGGAATCGGGTCCTGCAGGGACCCCCGGAGTCCCCGGAACTGCTGCTTCTCCAGCCTGCCCCCTGTCCGAGGCCTCTCCCGCTTCAGCCCGCATTTCCTTGCTTCCTTATGTTCTCTGCTGCCCTTTCCTTTCCTGGGTCCTGCCATGCGCATGTGTGCATGTGTGCACATGTGTGCGCATGTGTGTTCGTGTGTGTGCATGTGTGCGCATGTGTGTGCATGTGTGCGTGTGTTCATGTGTGTGTGCATGTGTGAGTAGGGACAGAGGGCTTTGAGTCACCATGGTGAGGGTTCGGTCCCAGCTCTAGCGCTCACAGAGCTGTGTGACCTTGGACGTGGCCTTCTGGGTTTCCTTGTCTACATGGTGGGGGGAGCACTGGTGTGCCTGTCGCATGAGGGAGCATAGCAAGGCTCCCGGAACCCAGCCGGTGCTCCCAGCATGCCCCGCCTCCCCTCGTGCCCTCTGGGCAGTGCCAGGCGGGAGGAGGCTGAGCAGCCCTGTGGAGCTGAGGAGGGGGCGGGCGGGGGAAGAGAGGAGGATTCTAACCCAGACCACCCCCTCCCCCAAGCTCCTGTCTCCCACAGACCTGTCAGAGCCCAGTGACACCAGCTCAGGCATCGAGGTGGCCGATGACCTAGCTCCCAGGGCCGTGAGTACCGCCCTGGGCCGGCCCTCTGAGTGGTGGGCCAGGAGGCTCCTGCTTGTCTGTGCCCTCCCTGGGCTGTTTCCTTGCCTGTGAGACTGGAGCATCCACCCCCGTCCCGGCCCCCATGACCAAGCAGTGCACCAGGGCAGGGTGGGGGCGCTGTCTAGCCTCTGAGGCCTGACCAACAGGCCCACTGTCCTAGGGGAACAGCGACTTCCAAGCCCCTTAGCCTGGGAGCCCCTGTCCCTAGACACAGAGGCTGTGGGTTGGGACTGACGGTGCTGAGACGGTTTATGGGACCCCCTGTGGGACGTGGGACCCAGTCTGAACGACACTGCTGTCAGGCCCCTCCCTCCCACCCCTGCCCGGGGAGGGCAAGGAGAGCTTTAAGCCTGCCCACTATTCTGGAGAAAGAAGTCTGCGGAGCTCTGGACCAGAGCAGCATGGCCCTGTCCAGGAAGTAACCTGGACAAGGGGGGGAACGGCAGCAGGCAAGGGGACAGCAAGTGCCAAGGTCCTGTGGCCAGCAAGATCTTGACTTTCTCAGTGACACACTGAGGCTAGACTGGCAACGTGTGTAGGGCTGGGTGACGGGGAGGCCAGAGGAGGCAGGGAACTGGTATGGAGGGTGAGGCAGCCAGGGAGGAAGCTGGATTTTCCTACAGGTGCAATGGGAAGCCATGGGGCTTCTGTCCAGGAAGGGAGTGTGATTGGTTTGTCTTTTAAGAAAAGAGCCCCGGCTGCAAGATCCTGGGAGGTGGGGAGGCAGCTGGGAGACTTTTGGGAGGCTCGGAGGTGCTGGCAGGCAGCAAGAGCCCCACTGGGCGTCCCAGGCTGCATAGGGCGGGGGGCCGCCTCCTGGGCTTGGCGCCCGCCCCATCTCACGTTCTCTTGGTGCTCAGGGGGCTGACCTGGCCCTGGACACGGCCACCAAGGCGATGTCAGCAGCAGAGCCTGGAGCGTGGGCGGAGGCCGAGCCCCAGGTGGCTGTGGCGGCCCCAGCCAGCGTGAGGAGGGTGAGCGCGGGTGTGGAGGTGGCCGTGCTGACCGACGACCTGCCGCCCATCGTGGACCAGCAACAGGTGCTCGCCCGGTAAGCACCGGCTCGCGGGCTGGCGGGACCCGCGGCTGGGTGGGAGGAGCCGGGCCCAGGCTCGCGTTTGGGTGCTCTCGCGTCTCCCTGGCTCAGGTGGCCTGGATCCTCTCTCTGGAGTAGGGGTGGGGGGGGTGGGATCAGCCCAGGAAGCCCTGCAGACAGGCTCCAGTCAGGCACCTGCAGGGGGGGAGTGAAGGGGGCCGTGCCTACCTGGCCCCCACCCACCTGGCCTCCAGGTTCTATGGCCGCTGTCCACTTCCACATCAATCTCACCCTGAAGTTATTTCAAATTTGTTCCTTGAAAGGCAAAACTGAGCATTTTTTTTGACAGGCAGAGTGGACAGTGAGAGAGAGAGACAGAGAGAAAGGTCTTCCTTCCGTTGGTTCACCCCCCAAGTGGCCGCTACGGCCGGCGCGCTGCACCGATCTGAAGCCAGGAGCCAGGTGCTTCCTCCTGGTCTCCCATGCGGCTGCAGGGCCCAAGCCCTTGGGCCATCCTCCACTGCCTTCCAGGGCCACAGCAGAGAGCTGGCCTGGAAGAGGAGCAGCCAGGACAGAACCGGCGCCCCGACCAGGACTAGAACCCGGTGTGCCGGCGCCGCAGGTGGAGGACTAGCATATGAGCCATGACACCGGCCAAAACTGAGCATTTCAAAGCAGTAGGGATGTAAATCTTTTTAGGATGTATCATCCGTGTCCCCGCCTGATTCCACATGGTGCGTTTTACGCACCGAGTCCTCTAAGTGTGATCATGGTGGTGGCACACAGCACACAGCCATGAGCCCCGATAAGGGCCTGTTGGGGATGAGTTGTCCCCAAGGCCCAGGGACAGAGACTGTGACCCTCACGGTGGGACACACTCACAACTGTGATCAGGTGCACAGGTACGGAGTCAGGTGGATCTTGTGGGAATCCTGGGTGGGACCCCGGGCGAGCACATCTCTGGGCCTCAGTTTGCCTCTCTGTGAAATGGGGCTGTGGGGGGATTTGGTGAGGTCGCCTGCTGGGCAGCAGGTGCTCACTGGGCACCGCCCTGGTCTCTCCCAGGCTGCAGCTGCTGGAGCAGCAGGTGGTGGGCGGGGAGCAGGCCAAGAACAAGGCCCTGAAGGAGAAGCACAAGGGGCGGAAGCGCTACGCGGACGAGCGCAGGCGGCAGCTGGTGGCGGCGCTGCAGAGCTCGGAGGAGGACGGCGGGGAGTGGGTGCTGCTGCACGTCTACGACTCCATCCAGGAGGAAGTGAGGGCCAAGAGCAAGCTGCTGGAGAAGATGCAGAGAAAGGTGAGGCCCGCCCTCGGCAGGCGGTCAGCTCCCCGCTGCGCACGCCCCCGGTCAGCCACAGGCACGGTCAGCTCCCCGCTGCGCACGCCCCCGGTCAGTCACAGGCACGGTCAGCTCCCCACTGCCCATGCCCCCGGTCAGTCACAGTTATGGTCAGCTCCCCGCTGCGCACGCCCCCGGTCACAGCCTGGCCGCAGCAGTCACAGTGACACACGCCTGCATTCTAGTGCGTGTGCATGCACGTGTGTGTGTGTATGTGTGTGGGTACGTGCACTTGTGTGCATGCGCATGCGTGCGTGTGCATGTGTGCACATGTGTACATGCGTGTGTGTGCATGTGTGTGCACATGTGTGCCTGTGTGTGCGTGCGTGTGCAAGGGCAGGAGAAGGGAGGCAGTGAGGAGCGTTGTGCAGGGGGCTCCAGGGCTGCCCCACCCAGCTGGTCGTCTCGGTGTCAAGGGCACACATGCCAGTAGCACCTGCTCCGTCCGTCTTCACAAAGCGGATGCACCCGTGACACCGGCGCCCAGATGGGGAAGCTGAGGGCTGAGGGACCCTGGGGTGTCTGCATGGAGGGGAGGCTCCGGGGTGGGGGGAGGCCCTGGAAAAGCCTGAGGCGGGAGTGAGGTGGGAGGGAGGTGGGCAGGGAGGAGGCGGAGGCTGAAACCTGGCAGTGAGGTCGGACGGGGGTTGGGGGGCAGTGAGGATGGATGGGGGTGGGGGGCGGTGAGGATGGACGGGGGTGGGGTGCAGTGAGGACAGACGGGGTGGGGGGAAAGCAGGGTGGGGGGCAGTGAGGACGGATGGGGGTGGGGGTGGGGTGAGGATGGACGGGGTGGGGGGAAGTGGGGTGGGGGGCGGTAATGACGGATGGGGGGAGCAGGGGGTGGTGAGGACAGGCGGGGGGCAGTGAGGACGGATTGGGGTAGAGCAGAGCGGGGGGCGGTGAGGACCAATGTGGGGAGGCCATCCTCAGCGTCACTTCTGCTTCTTCTGCACCTCCTCTGCGAGGTCAGGCCTCCGGCGGGGCCCGTGGCCAGATGTGCCACCCCCCCCCCCGCCTCCTGTTCCCAACACTGGCAACTGGAGAATCTTGCCAAAGATAAAAGTGGCTGCTATTTCAAAGGCAGAGTGATGGAGGGGGAAAGACAGAGAGGAGGAGAGAGAGATCTATCCACCGGGTTGCTCCCCAGATAGACACAATGGCTGGGGCTGGCCCAGGCTGAAGCTTGGAACTCCACCCAGCTCTCCCGTGCGGGTGCAGGGGCCCGAGCACTTGGATCATCTTCCACTGCTTCCCCAGGCCATTAGCAGGGAATTGGATAGGAAACGGAACAGCAGGGACTCAAACCAGGTCTCTGATATGGGATACTGGTGTTCCAAGTGGCAGTTTAAGCCGATGCGCCCCAACACTGGCCCCTGTTTTCGTTTCGTTTCGTTTCGTTTCTTTTCTTTTCTTTTCTTTTCTTTTCTTTTCTTTTCTTTTCTTTTCTTTTCTTTTCTTTTCTTTTCTTTTCTTTTCTTTTCTTTTCTTTTCTTTTCTTTTCTTTTCTTTTCTTTTCTTTTTCTTCTCTCTCTCTTTTTTTGACAGGCAGAGGATTAGCCTAGTGAGCCGGGGCGCCGGCCAGAAAACAATCTTGAAATGAAGAACAGAATGGGAGAACTTACACTTCAAAACTTAGTACAGGAGTGGGCACTGTGGCGTGGTGGGTAAAGCCGCTGCCTGCAGTGCTGGCATCTCATATGAGCGCTGGTTCGAGTCCCGGCTGCTCCACTTCTGATCCAGCTCTCTGCTATGGCCTGGGAAAGCAGTGGAAGATGGCCCAAGTCCTTGGCCCCTGCACCCTCATGGGAGACCAGAAGAAGCATCTGGCTCCTGGCTTCGGATTGTCTTAGCTCCAGCCGTTGAGGCCATTTGGGGAGTGAACCAGCAGATGGAAGACCTGACTCTATCTCTCTTTCTCTCTGCCTCTGCCTCTCTGTAATTCTGTCTTTCAAATAAAATAAATAAATTTAAAAAAACTTACTACAAAGCTACAGTAATGAAGATTGCGTGGTATTGGCACGAAAATAGACATCTAGATGAGTGTAACACAATTGTGCAGCCAGAAGCAAACCCTCACACTTACTGCCAATTGATTTTTAACACTAATAAGATGACTCAGTGGATAAAGGATATTTTTTCAATAATTGGTGCCGGGACAACTGGAAAGCCACATGCTAAAGAGTGGTGCTGGACCCCTACCTTACACCGAGTACAGAAACCAACTCAGAATGGACCAAAGCCTCGGGGTAAGAGCTGAAAGCATAACACCCTTGGAAGAGAATGCGTGGATCTGTGTCGCCTTGATTGAGCACTGGTTTCCTAGGTACGACACCAAGAGCACAAGTAACAAGCACAAGGTAGATTGGACTTAATCAAAATTCAGCCTTCTGTGCTTCAAAGAACATTGTCTAGGAAGAGAAAGGACCGCCCACAGAATGAGAAAATCTATGTAAATCGTGTGTCTGACCGGGCACTTGTACATAGAGATATAAAGAAGACTTACGACACAGTTGTCAAAGGACAGCCTTATTTAGAGATGGATGAAAGATCCGATTAGATGTTTCTCCAAGGAAGGTAAACAAATGGCTGATAGGCGCATGAAAAGATGCTCACCGTATGTGCTATGAGGGAGATGCGATCCAGAACCATGTGAGATAGCACTTGGCCCCCACTGGAGTGACTGACAGAAAGGTGATGGCTAAGAAATGTAGATGAGGGGCTGGTGCTGTGGCGTAGCTCCTACAGCCACTGCCTGCAACACCGGCATCCATATGAGCTCTGATTTGTGTCCAGCTGCTCCTCTTCTGATCCAGCTCCCTGTTAATGTGCACCCACATGGGAGACCCAGATGAAGCTCCTGGCTCCTGGCTTCACCCTGTCTCAGTCCTGACTGCGTGGCCATGTGTACCAGCCTCTCCCTGCCCTGCAGGCTGCTTGCACACCTGCCTCCTGCTAAGGTAGCCTCTGTCCTCAGCTGGGGATGGGAAGTGCCATGGATTTCAGTCGTCCGTCCTTTTTTTTTTAAGTTTTTTTTTTTTTAAATTATTTATTTGAAAGAGTAACAGAGGTAGAGAGAGAGAGGTCTTCCATCTGTTGGTTCACTCCCCAGATGGCCGCAATGGCAAGAGCTGTGCCAATCCGAAGCCAGGAGCAGGAGCTTCTTCCAGGTCTCCCACATGGGTGCAGGGGCCCAAGGACTTGGGCCATCTTCTACTGCTATCCCAGGCCATAGCAGAGAGCTGGATTGGAAGAGCAGCAGCTGGGACTTGAACCGGCGCCCATATGGGATGCCAGTGCTTCAGGCCAGGGCTTTAACTCACTGCGCCAAAGTGCCAGCCCCCCGTCCTTTTTTTAAATTAATTAATTTGAAAGGCAGAGATATAGAGAGGCAGAGAGAGAGAGAGAGAGAGTGAGAGAGAAAGAGTGAGAGAGAGGTCTTCCATTTGCTGGTTCACTTCCCAAGTGGCCTCAATGGCTGGAGCTGCACTGATCCAAAGCCAGGAGCCAGGAGCTTCTTCCAGGTCTCCCATGTGGGTGCAGGGCCCCAAGGACCTGGGCCATTTTCTACTGCTTTCCCAGGCCATAGCAGAGAGCTGGATTGGAAGTGGAGCAGCCAGGACTTGAACTGGTGCCCATATGGGATGCCGGCACTGCAGGCAGCGGCTTTACCTGCTGTGCCATGGCGCAGGCCCCAGTCATCCATCTTAGCCAACCAAGCTGCTCCTGCTCTTTGAGGAGCAGCCTGTGCACTCAGGCCTTGGGGCTAAGGGCGAGCAGGGTTGCAGTCAGTTGGCATTGGCAGTCGTTGTGCTTAGGAGGGAAGGGAGGGGGAGCCTGCCTGGCAGACTTGGCAGGGGACCAAGAATCTGGAGTCCGTGGTCAAATTAAGGGGGGCCTGACTGTCAGGTGCAGGGTCTGTCACTCCAGAACAGAGGGCGGGCGGGGGCGGGGCGAGGACTGCTGAATCTGCCCACTGCTGCCCACTGCTGCCCACTGCTGCCCATTGCTGCCCATTGCTGCCCGTGGAAGTCATTTGTGCAGCTCCCTGAGCTCTTCCCGGGCCGTGGGGACTCAGGTGGGCACCTCGGGTGAGCACCTCTAGTGGGCACCTCTGGAAGGCCCCTGTGGAAGTCGTGGGGGAGTGTGGGCTGGTGGCTAAGGGGTCGGTGAGTGATTTTTTCCCCCTTACGTTTTGCAGGGCTGTGGACAGACTAGGTGCTCATTTAAATGCTGGGTGGAGCCGAGGAGAGTGAGGGAGGGATGGACAGAAGGGTGGGGGGCTGGCCGGCTGGGGGAGGTACACGTGGCTGTAGGGGAGCAGGCGGCTGGCGATGGGGGGTGCTGGCAGGACAGTGGCAGGGTGGACAGGGTGTCTGACCGAGGGCGGGGTGTCTCTGTTCCCTGCACACCTCCTGTCTCGTTTTGCTGTCAGCTTCGGGCGGCGGAGGTGGAGATCAAAGACCTGCAGTCGGAGTTCGAGCTGGAGAAGATCGACTACTTGGCCACCATCCGGCGGCAGGAGCGCGACTCCATGTTCTTCCAGCAGCTGCTGGAGCAGCTGCAGCCCCTCATCCGCCGGGACTGCAACTACAGCAACCTGGAGCGGATCCGGCGCGAGTCCTCCTGGGACGAGGATAACGGCTTCTGGAAGATCCCGAAGCCCGTCATCCTGAGAACCAGCCTCCCAGTAGGTCAGAGCACGGTGGATGGGGAGCCTGGGCCACCCCCTGCAGGCTGGGGAGGTCCCTGAGGAAGTGGGGTGTTCTGCAGGCAGACAGATGTAGTTGGAGTTCCCATGGCACCATTCTGTGTGACGGAAGGGACTCAGTGTCCTCGTCTGTGAAATGGGCACAAACGTGGTCTTTATCACCGTTCCATCCTTACAGAGACCCTGTGAGGCGTGTAGATGATCACCCCTGTTCCACACAGGAGGAAACCCAATCTCAGAGGGCGTGGGTGGCTTCTCCAAGGTCACGGCCACAGCAGGGGATTGCATGACCTTGGCTAGGCCGGCAGGTGTCTTGTTTCCAAGCCTGAGTGCAGGCCCTGTCTCCCCCCTGGCCTTGCACTGGGCCTCAGTGACTTCAGCTTTTGTTTTCCCAGCAGTCCCCACTGGGCCCCAGAACAAGGTGGCCCGCAAAACATCCGCAGCAGACAGTGGCGAAGCAGACGTGGTAAGACCCCAGAGCGGGTGCGGGAGCGGGCCCTGGGGGCTTTACCCTCGGGAACCGCTCTTCACCTTTCACCCCGCGAAGGGTCCCTCCTTCTCCCCCCCTCCCTTCTTTGTCTTTTTAATATTTGTTTATTTGAAAGGCAGGGTGACAGAGAGATGTAGGGATAGAGAGGAACCTTCTACCGCTGGTTCACTCCCCAAATGGCCACAATGGCCAGGACAGGGCCAGGCTGAAGCCAGGAGCCGGGAGCTCCTTCTGGGTCTCCCCAGTGGGTGGCAGGGGCCCAAGCACCTGCCACCTTTCCCAGGCACTTCCAGGAAGCTGGTCAGAAGTGCAGCAGCTGGGACAGGAACTGGCATTCACATGGGATGTTGGCCTTGTAATCTGGGGCCTAACCCACTTCACAGTGCTGGCCCCAGGAGTTCTTCATTTTATGTATCTGAGAGACAGTGGTCCCATCCACTGGTTCACTTCCTAAATGCCCACAAGACCCAGGGCTGTGCCAGGCTGACGCTGGGGGCCAGGAACTGAAGCCAGCTCTGCCACGTGGGTGGCAGGGACCCAGATACTTGCGCTATCATAGCTGCCTCCCAGGTGGCAGAGTAGCAGGAAACTGGAGTCGGGAGCTGGAACTGGGACTCACATCCAGGCCCTCCGATATGGGATATGGGCGTTCCAAGGGATATCTTAACCCCTGTGGTACCTATGGATTAATGCCTCGGGCCGAGGCTGGATCCTTCTCTGTGTCACTCCATGGGCACCTGGACCCTTGACCCCATCTGTCCCTGACTCAAAGGCATCTGCAGTCCTGAAGACAGGGAGGGGGACAGCCCACCCCGCAGGTGCAGAACAGGGGCTCCGCCTCAAACCCAGAGGCCCCGGGGCACGTGCTGGTTCCCTGGGCCTCTGCTGGTTCCTCACTTTCTTGTCATGTCGCCCATGCTGATTGGTGCAACAGCAATGCACGTCTTTAAGTCAGGAGCTAGTGAACTTCTGTAAAGGACTTGACAGTAAATATATTTTTTAAATTTTTTTGGAAAAGATTTATTTATTTATTTGCAAGGTAGAGTGTCAGAGTGGGTGAGCTCTTCCATCAGCTGGTTCATGCCCCAAAAGGCTGCAACAGCCAGGCCAGGGTAGGCCAAAGCCAGGAGCCAGGAACTCCATCCTGGTCTCCCGTGTGGGTGGCAGGGGCCCAAGTACATGGGCCAACTTCTGCTGCCTTCCCAGGCACATTAGCAGGGAGCTGGATCGGAAGTGGACTCAAACTGGTGCCCATATGTGGCATGCCGGCATTGCACGCAGTGGCTTAGCCCACTGCCCCACAATGCCAACCCTGTAGTGAGTATCGTGGGCTTTGTGGGCCAGATGGTCCCTGGTATAACCTCTCAGCTCTGCCATTGTAGCACAAAAACAGAGACAACGCGTAAACGAGTGGCACGTTTCGATAAAACTTTATTAAGAATAGACAGTGTTCTGGCAGTAAGATGCCCATGTCCCGCATCAGAGGCCTGGGGTCAAGTCCCAGCTCTGCTCCTGCACACCTTGGGACACCACAGGGGAGGGCTGCAGTAGCTGGGCCCCTGTCACCTGCATGGGAGACCTGCATTGAGCTCCTGGCTTTGGCCTGGCCCAGCTCTGACGGGTGCGGGCATTTGGAGAGTGAACCAGTGGATGGAAGCTCTGTGTCTCAACTACATTAATGAGAATAAAGATAAAAAATAAAGCACCAACAGTCTGCAGGCCAGAGTTGGCTGTAATTTGCTGATCCCTGCCTTAAGCCACTGCAGGCATCTCAGAGACCCACGCAGGCGGTACCTGCGCGTTCCTGCCCAGGCCGCTGTGGGCTGGTGAGCTCCAGCCGAGCCCCTCTGCCCCGGGCCCAGCCTCTGCAGGGCGTCGCGCGGCTTTGTGGACGCTGGATCGGCTGCTGTGCTAGCGTAGCTTCGTAAAAAGGGATGCTTGCTGCCGAGAGGAATTCTGAGCCGGGCCACGGAGCGGTTCTGTCAGAGCCCTTGTAGTTCCAGGAGTTCCAAAGCACTGATCAGCAAAATGGAGAACTCGCTGGCTCAGGGCGTGGGCCAGTTTCAGGCGAGGCTGGACCCAGGGCCTCGAGCGGTCAGCGTCCTGTGTCTGTCTCTCTCGTTTCTGCTTTCTCCAGCTGGCAGGAGACACACCTGCTGGCAGCTGTGATCCAAGGGGAGGGAGCCTCCTCTCTTGAAGCATCCTTAACCCAAAAGGGGGCAGGAAAAAAATTTTTTTAAAATATTTAGTTGAAAGGCAGGGTGAGAGAGAGAGAGAGAGAGAGAGAGAGAGAGAGAGAGAGAGAGAGATGCTTCACTGGTTCAGTCTCCAAAATGCTCACAACAGCCAGGGCTGAACCAGGCTGAAGCCAGGAACCAGGAACTCCATCTGGTCCCCTGTGTGGGTGGCAGGCTCAGGTGCCTGAGCCACCAGGTGCTGTGTCCCAGGCGCATCAGCGGGAACCTGGATCAGGAGTGGAGCAGCCAGGACTTAAACCAGGTGCTCTGACATGGGATGTGGGGGCTTTAGCAGACGCCACTACTGCACCTGCCCCAGCCTGTGGCAAGATTCTGACGGGCTCTGCTCTGGGGCCGTGGGCCCACTCTCGGACCAGTTTCCCTGTTCCTGGAGATACAACTCTGTATGGGTGCTGGCCGGTCACATGTCTGAGCTGTGAGGTGCAGGGGTACACTCTAGGGAAGAGGTTCACACTGGGGGAAGCCATGGGTTGATGGCGGTGACGTCACCGCCATCAGTGGTTGTAGCATCAGGCTCCAGGCTGATGACCTACACGGGTAGCTGTGAGCCCAGGACTCCACTAGCTGTTCTGTGTTGGGTTGGATTTGGGGGTGTGTTTGGAGCCTTGCAGGAGGGTGCATGGCCCTGGCCGTCCCGGGGGTGGGGATGGGCAGAACGTAGGCCTGGCTGGAGACTGTGACCCCCAGGCTGGAGCTCTGCCTGTCGCCTGTCCTGGGAGTCCCCCGAAGCGGGCAGCGACTGCCCGGCCCAGAGATGCAGCGGGGCGGCTTCCAGAGGCCGCTGAGCCCTCGGCAAGGGGCCCAGGTCAGGGCCGCACAAACGCGGGCACCACTCAGCACGGGGAATCATCCCAGCAGGAAGAAGACCGCTACAGGGAGATGCTCAGTCGGAGCGACAGTGAAAATATCGCCAGCAACTACTTCCGGTCCAAGCGGGCCAGCCAGATCCTCAGCACGGATCCCAGGAAGAGCCTCAGTGAGCGCCCCTCACCCCAGGCTGGGAGAGGTGCGGCCGGGGGGTTTGGAGTCAGAGGGACCTGAGTCCCAGAGCCCCATCCCCTCTCCGAGCCTCAGTTTCCCCAGCTGTGACAGGAGGGGGAGGACACTCATTCTCAGGGTTAGGTGGGGAAATGGCCCAGCCCGGGGCCTGCACACAGTAGGTGCTCTGTGTGTCGTCTCCTGTGGGCTTACTGTCTCCCTGGGGAGAGCGGCTGGGTCTGGCTCCTGTCTGCCCACACAGTAGGTCCACGGCACGCAGCTTGGGTGCCGGAGTCTGACTGTCACTAGCCAGCTGCCAGCCTCCCCCCGCTGCCGGGCCCTCCCCGTGAGGACTGAGCCCAGGAGGTACAGAGGGGCGACAAAGGCAAAACACAGTCTCAGAAATTGAAAATCACTTCGTTCTGCTTTTACAATGAAAACCAAAGCCCACCCCAAGTTTTCAAGAAAATACTGACAGAGAGCAAACCCTACTCTGTACCGAGGTTATTTAAGATCCGGAGCAGGTGGAATTGACCACGAAGGGGGGAAAAACAGGACAGGGAAGAAAGCAGCCGCCGCCGAGCACCTGCGCGGTGCCCACGCTGCAGGCGGGGCGGCTGAGGCTCGGGGAGGTGGTGAGGCGAGCCGGGGTCACGCCCCTGGAGGCGGCGAGCTGGGCGCTGAGCCCAGGCTACTGCTGTCTTGAGGCTTTAAAAGCGCAGCCCCCAGCCCAGCCCCCTGGGATGCAGATGTAGCGCGGGGCCTGAGGCCTCAAGTGGAGCGGCCCCTCTGAGCTCAGTCCCCGCTGCAGCACCGGGCCTCCGGCTGGGTGGGGCTGGGCCAACCCCTCCACCTGCACACGGCGCTGACCAGCGCCCTGGCCCTCCTCTCCACAGCGCACCACAACTCGCCGCCGGGCCTCAGCTCCCCGCTGGGCAACAGCTCTGCCCTCCTGCCTGCCCAGGTGCCCGAGACGCCCCAGCCCCGGCCCTTCCGCCTCGAGTCCCTGGACATCCCCTTCGCCAAGGCCAAGCGGAAGAAGAGCAAAAGCAGCTTTGGCACGGAGCCCCTGTGACACGCTGCCCGCTGCGACCCGGCCCCCAGGGCAGCCCCCACAGAGCCCTGGGGACACGCGCTCCCTTCCCCATTCCCCAGAGTCCCCCCGCTGCAGGGCCAGGAGCCCAGCGGCGGGGCTGCCCTCCGGGAGAGGCCTGCCCCAGCCGTCCCCACCACGCCAGTGTTTCCACCCGCGCGGAGCCTGCCACGTGTGCCTGCCAGTGTTGGCTTTGCCCCCAGTGGCTCCCAAGGCTCAGAACTGCCCTGGGCCTCCCCAGCAGCCCTGGCCGAGTGGGCAGCAGCTGCGTGTGCGTGGGGCCCGACACCTCAGCAGCCGAGAACTGTGCCTCTGTGTCTTGGATGTCCCGCCTAAGGGGAGCCCTGGCATGTGGGTGGCGCAGGGACCCCGCGGGAGCCATGTTGCTCAGCTGCCCTGTGGCCCCGGGAAGTTGAGCTACCAATAAACTGCCTTTTCAGATGCGCTCTGCTCCCTGGCCCCTCTGGCGGTGTCACTGGGGACCTCCCGACCACTCGGACTGGGGTCCCGGAACAGCCCTTTCTGGACCAGGGGTTCTTTTAAAAAAATTTTTTTTGTTCTGTATTTGAGAAGCAGAGAGAGACAGAGAGGGAGGTCTCAGCTGTTGGTTTATATCCCTGGGAGCCGGGATCTCAATCTGGTCCTGCCACTCGGGTGGCAGGCGCCCAGCGACTTGAGCCATCACTTGCTGCTCTCCAGGGTGTGCATCAGCAGGGAGCTGGATTGGAGACCCAGGCACTCCATGGGGGATGGGGCCAGCCAGGCAGCGGCCAAACGCCTGCCCGCCCGGGAAAGGGGTTCTGAACCAGGGGAGCCTTTTACAACAGCCCCCTGCAGTCACGTGAGCAAGGGCGGCTTTCAGGGCGAGCACCTGAACCTTCCTGCGACCTTGTGGAAATCAGGGCCAGGTGCCTCAGAAATGAACCCTGCCTACCCTGCGGTACTAACCCGGGAGCCGCCCCCGCCCACCCTGCGGTACTCACCCAGAGCCGCCCCCCGCCCACCCTGCAGTACTCACCCAGGAGCACCCCCTGCCCATCTTGCAGTACTGGGAGCGTCCCCTGTCCACCCTGCGGTACTCACCCGGGAGCCGCCCCCTGCCCACCCTGTGGTACTCACCCGGAGCCGCCCCCTGCCCGCCCAGCGGTACTCACCCGGGGGCAGTCCCCTGCCCACCCTTTGGTACTCACCCGGGAGCGCCCCCTGCCCACTCCACGGTACTCACCCGGGGGCCGCCCGTGTTTTTCTTTTTTTTTTTTTTTTTTGGTTTAGTTTTTTGTTCAGAAGTCAGGTAGATAGAATGATGCGCAGGCAAGTGGAGAGACTTTATACTGCTTTATATAGATATTCTGAGATATAGATAAATACGTATCACAACTGGGGGTTTT